ACACGGCCGGCCCAGAGAGCACACAGGCGGAGAGCACACAGCTGGAGAACACACAGCCAGCCCGGAGAGCACAGGGCCAGAGAGCACACAGCTGGAGAGCACACGGCCGGCCCGGAGAGCAAACAGGCGGAGAGCACACAGCCAGCCCGGAGAGCACACACCCGGCCCAGAGAGCAAACAGGCGGAGAGCACACAGCCAGCCCAGAGAGCACACGGCCAGAGGGCACACAGGGGGAGAGCACACAGTGGGAGAGCACACAGGGGGAGAGCACACAGGGGGAGAGCACACAGTGGGAGAGCACACAGGGGGAGAGCACACAGTGGGAGAGCACACAGGCGGAGAGCACACAGTGGGAGAGCACACGGCCAGAGGGCACACAGGGGGAGAGCACACAGGGGGAGAGCACACAATGGGAGAGCACACAGGCGGAGAGCACACAGCCAGCCCGGAGAGCACATGGCCGGGAGCACATAGCCGGAGAGCACACAACCGGAGCACACACGGCTGGGCCAGGGAGCACACGGCCGGAGAGTGGAGAGCACACGGCCGGAGAAGTGGTGCACTCACACTTCTGCAGCAGCTCTGCACGCAGCGTGGCGCTCTTGGGCTTCCTCTTCAGCTGGAAATGCTTCACTGGCGGGGTGAGGGGCCCGGCGAGCGTGGTCAGGGCATTCTTGTTCAGGTACTGGCACTCCAGCGGTAACATGGCGGATGCCTCGCACTCCCCCACTGCAGACAGCCAGAGAACCACAGCAGATCAGCCTGGCACCAGGTAGCTCCGTGCCGCCTGCACAGCTCACTCGCCAAGAGCCTTGATGGAGGTTTCCTATTTACAGCTTCTGGTTTCAATCCTCTGTGGTCCCCACTGTTCCAGCTCCACCATCCCAGGACCCAAGATCAGCCAAGAGAGTCAGGACCCAAGGGCAGGCCTACCACCCCAGGGGAAGGCACATCAGAATCTCCAGGGCCTTTTTCAAAAGAAGAACAATCTGGAAGAGACGGAGGACGCCTCAGCTGCAAGTCTCAGAACTGTGGGGGTTTAGGGAGCACAGCGTGCTAAGCGCGGCAGCCTCTACCACAGCCTCCCCTAAGAAGCTCGGACAAAGCAGCCTGGGAGTCAGGAGGAACAGGTGTGTGGCTGCTGAAGCCTCTCCCGGCCCCACTGAATTGCAGTCTTTGGAAACCACCCAGGCATGCTGCTGGAGTCTGCTTGGTCACCCAGGGGTCAGCCAGGAGGACTCCCACAGGAGTCGCCCAAACCAGTTACATAACTGAGGAGGAACGGCCTCCCAGGGAGTGAGCTTGCTGCCTCATCTCCTGCTCCAGGAGAACCAGGCCTTTCCTGTGCTGGGGGGACTCCAGCAGGGTGCTTGGCCTGTGCAGACCAACATTCTGGGTCCAAAACAACAAATAAAAAAATAAAAAAGCCTAAAACATACGAGAAGCCATGGGCGGCCCTGCAGGAGTACGCAGCCTCGGGTCTCCAGCCTCCTCTTTCAGCATTCTCCTTGAAAGAACCTGAGGCCCAGGTTTCCAATCTCCAAACAGAACAGACAGCCCCATGGCATGTTCTTGACAACCACCTGCAACCATTTTCTAATAACTGCACACGCTGTTATTGAATTGGTATTTCAACATGTTTCTGAGTGTCTACTCTAGGCCAATGAATATTCTAGGCACTGGAGAGATAACCTGCAGGGTCCTCACCCTCAAGGAGCCAATGGCTGGAGACAGCAGTGGCCAATCAAACCATGGATGAGCCCCATAATTCCAAACACAGTGCATGCAGTGGGGACAGGGCTGTGCACCTGGGTCAGTCACAGGCTGTGCACCTGGGACAGGGCTGTGCCAGGTCAGACACAGTATGCAGGGACACACACAGCCAGTGTCTGAGGCGTCACAAGGTGGCACCAACAGTGTGATGCTGGCCAACAGCTTCTGAAGGGAGATCCCTCCTCCCACTGTAAAATAAAGCCAGACCACATACCTTTTTCTCTAAGTTCTCCTAGGATGTCTTGAACGTTGGGGTTCTGCTCCTCAAGGTCCAGGTTCAGGGAGCCCGTGTCAGGAAAGGACTTCAGAATGTCAGCAACCATGAGGACCCAGGGGTCCGAGTCCAGGGTGGCCAGCTGGATGATGTCCATGAGGGCACCCTTCATCTGCCAGGACAGAAGACGTTGCCTCCACTACCACCAGCCTCACCCCCTCCCAGAACAGGGCAGCTCCAAGTGTCCCTATGGCCACACATCTGCCCATTTCCAAACCTACTGTGGCCTTTGGGTGGGTCTGTGGCAGAGGCTGGTGAAAGTGATCACCCTCAGGACCCACCTGGGCTCTGCTTCCTTGGCACCCCACCAACCCCAGCCAGGGCTATCTCCTCCCTGCATTACCACAGCCTCTGTCAGGGTGTGATGGCCCAGCCTACAGTGTCTGGTGTCATTTGTGGCCTCCCAGACAACTCTTTGCAGGTCTGACACCCTCTAGCGGGCAGATATAACAACACAGAAGATCAGAAACCAGGACCACCAAAACCTCCCCTTGGCAACTCTGTGCTGTTAATGGGGAGCCTCTGACATGCAGAGTTGGGGTCAGGGTCAGCAACCAGAGGCACCAAGGCAGATGGATGATCCATCATTCCTTGGAAGCACAGGAGAGCCTGGCCACGGACAAGGATTTGCATCATGCATAAGCCTTACCGCCAATTCCCCACACCCAAGAATCTAGGTGGAACTGGAACCAGGCATGGTGGCACACGCCTTTAGTCCCAGCACTAGGGAGGCAGAGGCAGGTGGATCTCTGTGAGTTCAAGGCCAGCCTGATCTACATAGTGAGTTCAGATCATCTGAGGTTACAGGGAGACCCTGTCTCAAAAAGACAGACGGACAGAAGGAAGGAAGGAAGGATGGACGGAAGGAAAGAAAAAGACTCTGGGAGGACACGAGGACACAGTGCACAGAGGGAGACCTCAGAAAGCAAAGTGCCTGGAGTGTGACCTAACCCCTGCTACCCACAAACAGGAGAGTAAGTGCTGCATGTAAGGTAACACGTCCACCAACAGGAAAACGGGAAAGTATTTTATAAACATGCTTTAAAAAGTCAGGAAAGTTAGAAACAGAAAGTCCACTGTTTGGGCTTGTCTATCTCCCAAATCTGTGTTTTGAAGTCTCTCTTACTTCAGACCACTATAACAAAATTCCATAGACTAGATGTCTTAAACACCACAGAGAAGCTGGGCGTGGAGGCACACTTCTTTATTCCCAGCACAGTAGGCAGAGGCAGGAGGATCTCTGTGAGTTCAAGCCCAGCTTGGTCTACATAGTGAGTTCCAGGCCAGCTGAGGTTACAGGGAGACCCTGTCTCAGAAAGACAGCAAACAAAATTAATAATAGAAAGTTGTTTCTCACAGGGCTAGAAGTTGCCAAGTCAAAACCAAGGTACCAGCAGACACCTATCTACCCACGGAGGTGCCAAGAAACAGGGGTACAGTCCTCCCCACCCCCGGGTCTGTTTTTAAAACAAGGTCTGGTGCTGGACCATAGGCTGGCCTGGCTCTTCCTGCCTCCGCCTCCTGCATACACCAGGTTTATACAGAAATTTAAGGGGCCATCAGATACAGCTCAGTGGGTAAAGGGGCTTGCCACCAAGACTGAAGACCTGAGTCTAATTTCTGGGACCCACATGGTAGAAGGAGAGAACCAACTGCCACAAGCTGTCCTCTGACTTCCACATGTCTAGTAGCATGCACGCTCCCAACACACATATGAATATACATATATGTACACACACATACACACAAAATAAATGAAAAATGTAATACAAAAGAATCTAAAAGTACAAGGCATGGGGCTGGGGTACAGCTCAGAAGTGGGCTCAGGGCTGTCACGGTGAGGCCCTGGGCTTGCGCACCAGCACTAAGAACAGGCACAGGCCACAGAAGGAGCTACTGCAAGTAAGATATCACCTGTGTAAGTAAGTAGGTAAGTAAGCCAGGCACGGAAGGGGAAGTACTGTGTGTAAGTAAGTAAGTAAGTAAGCCAGGCACGGAAGGGGAAGTACTGTGTGTAAGTAAGTAAGTAAGTAAGCCAGGCACGGAAGGGGAAGTACTGTGTGTAAGTAAGTAAGTAAGTAAGCCAGGCACGGAAGGGGAAGTACTGTGTGTAAGTAAGTAAGTAAGTAAGCCAGGCACGGAAGGGGAAGTACTGTGTGTAAGTAAGTAAGTAAGTAAGCCAGGCACGGAAGGGGAAGTACTGTGTGTAAGTAAGTAAGTAAGTAAGCCAGGCACGGAAGGGGAAGTACTGTGTGTAAGTAAGTAAGTAAGTAAGCCAGGCACGGAAGGGGAAGTACTGTGTGTAAGTAAGTAAGTAAGTAAGCCAGGCACGGAAGGGGAAGTACTGTGTGTAAGTAAGTAAGTAAGTAAGCCAGGCACGGAAGGGGAAGTACTGTGTGTAAGTAAGTAAGTAAGTAAGCCAGGCACGGAAGGGGAAGTACTGTGTGTAAGTAAGTAAGTAAGTAAGCCAGGCACGGAAGGGGAAGTACTGTGTGTAAGTAAGTAAGTAAGTAAGCCAGGCACGGAAGGGGAAGTACTGTGTGTAAGTAAGTAAGTAAGTAAGCCAGGCACGGAAGGGGAAGTACTGTGTGTAAGTAAGTAAGTAAGTAAGCCAGGCACGGAAGGGGAAGTACTGTGTGTAAGTAAGTAAGTAAGTAAGCCAGGCACGGAAGGGGAAGTACTGTGTGTAAGTAAGTAAGTAAGTAAGCCAGGCACGGAAGGGGAAGTACTGTGTGTAAGTAAGTAAGTAAGTAAGCCAGGCACGGAAGGGGAAGTACTGTGTGTAAGTAAGTAAGTAAGTAAGCCAGGCACGGAAGGGGAAGTACTGTGTGTAAGTAAGTAAGTAAGTAAGCCAGGCACGGAAGGAGAAGTACTGTATGTTTTCTCTAGATTTAAAAAGTATATGCAAAGCCGGGCATGATGGCGCACGCCTTTAATCCCAGCACTCAGGAGGCAGAGGCAGGCGGACCTCTGTGAGTTCAAGGCCAGCCTGGTCTACATAGTGAGTTCCAGGACAGCTGGGGCTACGGGGAGACCCTGTCTCAAAAAGACAAAATATATATACACACACACACTCACACTCACACACTCAAGACTCAGCAGCAGAATGTCGTGGAAGAGGAAGGGCAACGCAGCTGACAGGTGCGGGGGGGGGGGCTGCAAAGAATGAAGGAGCATGACATAACGACCCATCATTCTCTCCACTGAGAATTAGAGGTGTCTGCTCCATGAAGAGCAACGGGAGGCAGCAACCAAAGAGCAGGACGCAAGGTCCAATCAGCCAGCATCTCATCTCCAAAACATTCAAGTGTGCCTGAAAGTCAACAGGACAGCGACCTGCTCAGAAAGACAGAGGCCAGGGACAGGTACCCCAATGCGCCACGGAAATCCACACAGACACGGGCATTTTTCATGACTTAATTTACAAAGCACACGACTGGCTCAGTGCTGCAGAGGGTGAGATCCAGGCCCCTCGGGTACTGCCAGTAGGGGAAGGTGCTATGTCACTTGAGCAAAGTGTGGCAGCATCCAACAATCCCACTCGGGCATTCCAAGCGAGTCACAGCTGCCACATAGGAAGCTGCATGTGGCCAGCAGCACTAGAGGCTGCTGCCCTCTGACCAAGTCAGAACAGCACATTTTGGGACGCAAAGGGCCAGAGAGGGGCTGTTCTGGGGCTTATGGCCCTACGAGGGTCTCGCCTCACCCTTGCAATGACCCATTCATAATGGAAAAACCACCCTGAGCTTGTCAGCCTTGCAGAAACAGGTCGTCAGCCTCAGGTTGGCAACCCCTGGAATACATATTTCTTATATATGCATCTCCCCATATGTGAGCACTTTATCAAATTTGGTATTTATGCTAAATATGATAGAAGAGCTTATGAGGTGCTAAAGGTCAGCAGTCAGAAAGTGCAAAGTGAAACCGATCTAAATGGCTTGAACTGAAAATCTGACAACCAAGAGCAGAGAGGGTGAGGACACTGGAACCCTCCCAGGGCACTCGGGAGAGCAGTCTGGCAAGTTCTTACCAAGCCCAACTCCCGCCTAGCTTATGACCTAGCCATCCTCCTCTAAGTGTTCCCTAGATAAAAAGCCAGCAGCCCACTCAAAGACTTAAGCACACAGGGGCCACTACTCAGTGAGAAAACAACCACACACAGTTCATATACACGACGACCACAGGGGACACTGCAGGATTCCATCACGAAAGTTCTAGAAAAGGCACACTAGTGTACCTCAAGCAGGGGGAAATGAGGGGGCACCCAGGGGTGGGAGGGTCACCTTCACTGCAGTGGGTCTGCGGTGTACCCTTCATGCTACAAACAGTAAGCATGGCTGTCCTTTGTACCCCTACGCCCTTTTTTCATAAACCTTGAAAGCAAAGTGCATCTTAAAGACAACAGAGAAAAAGATACATATTGAATAGAAAGAGTGTCACCCAGGGAAGAGCTGGGAGAGGGCAGGAGAGTGAGACGAAAAATCAAAGCTTTGTACAAAAAAGAAAATTTCCAACATAATAGAGGATGGATGGGAAGAACCAGTCAGATGTTACCCAGATTGCAGCAAAGCCAGTCTCCAGAGGTGCCTGAGGGAAGTGAAGAGTTGGACGGGACACGCACAAGTCTTCCAGAGCTGATGAAGCCAACTTCAGGACGCCGACACGTTTAGTAGGGTAAACAAATTATGCTTCATCAAAACCCATCCCGTGGGGCTGGAGAGATGGCTCAGTGGTTAAGAGCACTAACTGCTCTTGCAGAGGACCTGGGTTCAATTCCCAGCACCCACATGGTGGCTATAAATCATCCTTAACTCCAGTTCCAGGGGAATCTGCAGCCCTCTTCTGACCTCTGCGGCACTGCACAACACGGGTACACTCACATACATGCAGGCAATACACTCATACATATAAAAAAAACTAAATAAATAAAAATAAAAATAGTAAACAAAACATTAAAAAAAAAAAACCCATCCCAGAAAATAGCATGACTCAAAACGAAGCTGCTGTCCACGCCAAGTACTTCAGGACCCCAGGCGGTCTTCCAGGACCAGGGGCAAAGCTCCTGTCTTCCAGGACCAAGCTGCCTACGAGAGGCACCACAGTGCCTCCCAACGAGGAGACCACAGAGACACGACTGGGCTCTGGTCGGTTTCAATGAGGTGCTGGCCTGTAAGAGATCAGAGTGAGAACAGTGGCGGGGATATGGGAAGGACTAGAAGAGGCAGACAGCTGTGTCCAGGCACTCTCACGGCATGTTCGACATGTGGCTGGAAACCGAGGCTGCTTCTGTGTCAGCCTTTCAGATCTGTTCAACAAGAGACAGCATCTCGGCCTCACTGGCACAGCCTCACCCAGCCAGCTTGAAGCCCATGATGCCAGAAGGCAGAGCTTCTCAGTGGATGGGCGCCACCAGGACAGAGGGGAGCTGTGGAATGAGTCACACTGCGGTGTGCGATGAAGTAGCCAGACTGACTCTTCAGCTGGCCAAGGGTGGCCCCAGTGCTGTCTCCTGGGATGCCCAAGATAGCCATGAGCTCTCAGGAGGGGTACCATAGCCGCTTCTGCTGTGTGCACAGTGTGAGTCCTGGCCTGTCCAGGAGCAGCAGCACCTAGTCCCTCAAAGCCTTTGCACTTGCCCAAGTGCCAGCATGCCAGCGCCTGCACCGTCAGAACCCTCTACCTTGCTATACAGGACGCCCTTACTTAACAGCCACACAAAAGGCCTCACTCAGCAGGTTCCAACTCATATCTGCATCATCACTAAATACACCGAAATACTAGATCACTGAAGCATCTTTCTTCTCCGTGGACTTGGCTGAAAGCTGCTGTCTACTTAGCTTGTTGAAGAATAAGGTTGGGGGTGTAGCGAGGCAGCACAGTGCAAGTGTCAATTCACCTAGACCAAGGGGCAACTGTTTTTACTTGGTGTCCTGTTTGGCTCATTTTTACACCAATGCTCTTCCTTATTTTGTGTTTGTTTTTTTTCTGGGCCCTGAGTGGTTCCCACCTCATTTCCCATTGTTTATCTCATCACAGGTAATAGCATCCTGCAGGCTTGGTCCATGTTTTCATCATCATCACAGTGTAGGAGCCCTCACTGCACAAGCAGAACTCAGTTAAGCCCTAGAGTCCACATAAAAAGTCAAGTGTGGGGGCTGAAGAGATGGCTCAGCTGTTAGGAGCACTGACGGCTTTTGCAGAGGACCCAGTTTTGGTTCCTAGCACCTATATGGCAGCTAACAACCCTCCATAACTCTGGTTCTAGGGGATCCAATGCACTCTTCTGGCCTATGTGGGCACTGCACATACAGTACATTTTACATACATGTAGGCAAAACACTCATACGAATAAAATAAAAATAACTTTTTAAGAAGTGTGGCCGCAGGGCTGGAGAGAAAGATGGCTCAGCGGTTAAGAGCACTGACTGCTCTTGCAGAGGACCCAGGTTCGATTCCCAGCACCCATATGGCAGCTACAAACTGTCCTTAACTCCAGTTCCTGGGGAATTCCAAGCCATCTTCTGATCTCTGGGGCACTGCATGATACAGGTGCACTCACATGCAGGCAATACACTCATAAACATAAAAAATAAAATAAAATGAAAAAAAAAAGTGTGGCTGCACAAGTCTGACTCCCTTCCTGTGAAGGGGCGGGGCAGAGACAGGAGGACTGGCAGGGCTTGCTGGCTACTTGCCTAGCTCCAAGTGCACCAAGAGACTCTGTCTTGTCTTAAGGAGAAAAGTTGGAGAACAGAGCAGAGCACCCGACGTCCTCCTCCACACACTTGGGTGCACCTACACCACACACACGTACCACAGCTTGAAGACACTCCTGAAGAATAATAACTGGAGGGCTTCCCTGTCTGTTATATATCAAGACACAATAAGGAAAAGTGACAGGAACTGACTAGGCAGGGTATTAGCACAACACACAGATGACTCCAAAGAGCAGAGCTCAGAGATAGACCCACAGCAGAAGTACAGCAAAGGCAGCCATCTGTGGCTGTGCAGAGAACCACTTCAGCAGCTGAGTGAAATCAGTCACATCCCACCCTCAGCTTCAAACATCAATTTCAAGTCGACAGTAAACAAAGTGTGAGAAAGCACAGGTACCAAGCCTTAAGGAGCATTTCCTAACCCAGGTAAGCACCAACCACAGGGGAAGAACCGTGTCTGCAACGTCTAGCTAGAACCAAGGACTTCATCCAGAAAGTGAAGTCGTCCGTCACATATGTGACTGAACTAGAGGGCAGCCAGCACTCACTAAAAGAGAATGCTTCTCCAAAGCTACGAAAAAGAAAAAAGGAAATGAGGAGAAGAGTTCCGACAACCCACCGAAAGAAAACTAAACAGCAAACTGAACAAGCGACAGGACGTTCGATCAGACTGCAGCAGTAACTCACCTACCTTGACTGGCATGTTTTAGTGAGTATTTGATACAACTACTTTGAGAAGCCGCTTGGTATAATCCTAACATCACCTACAATTCTCCTAGAGAAATGCATGTTCACAAGCACCCAGACAGAACAAACATAAAACAGATTAAACAAATTAAAAACAAAACTACCTGTAACCTAAACCTCTAGACCACAAAGTAGGGCAAAGAAAACCCTGTCTGTCTGGCTTGGAACTTGATTCCGTCCTGGTCAGACACGGCCACAGCACACTGAAGGCATAGGAAACTCAACCGCATGGGGTTGAAACAAACTGTTTAGAAACGCACATGTAATTCATAACCCTACAGAAAAACGGCAATGGCCAGGGTACGCCCACGGGGAAGGGAGTGCTTCCGAGGCGCCAGCCTTGTTCTGGGTGGAAATCGCAGGCGTGGATCACTTTGTTACTAGTGATTGCTGTCTGCACATCCCATTGAACTAAAAACAACCCAATTCTAACCTAAACGACGTGGAAAGAAGAGTCACTGGAAAGGCTTCAACTCCCTTGAACGGGGCTCAGCGTTTTTGCTGCCGGGAGTACTGGCCCACCGGCTTGCCATCCCAGCCCTCCGGAGATGCCCGGCCAACCTGGGCTACACAGGGAGACCCTGGACACACAGTAATGCGTGTGAATCTGCAAAGCACAGCTTGAAGGATGCAACCGCACCGCACTGGAGAGAACCAGGGCGGACGGAAAGGCAAAACCCACGGAAACCAGGGCCGGAGAACCCCGGGAAAGCCGCGCTCAGAGCTCCGACCCCGGCGGGCGCGGGACCGCACAGGCGGAGGCCCAGGCAGAGGCCCGGAGGCGACCGCAGGCGACGGACCGTCCGCCGCACCCTCACCTCGTCCACTGTGCGGCGCGGGAGGTGCAGCGTGCCGAGCAGCAGCTTGAGCTTCACGGCTGACGACAGGCGGTGAAAGCAGAGGCGGATGTTGTCGATGACGGCGGCCGTGAGCAGGGACGCGATGCTGGGCGGCGCCCACAGCTCGTCCGTGGCGCCCAGTTTGTTGTGCAGCCACAACCCCGTGTCGCTCTCCCGCATGGACGCCATCTTGTCGGCCGCGACGCGCGCGGGACGGCATCTTACGCGGACGCCTACGTGCTCTCGGCGAGGACCCCCAACATGGCGGCGCCCGCGGGCGCGGGGCGGGGCCTCGGGCGGGAGGCCAGGGCGGCTGCCGAGCGTCGCGGCTTCGCGTGGCTACGAGATGACGCCAGAGGCCCGGAGCGGAGAGGCGCCGCCGGGGACGCTCGTGGGCTTCCGTACTGCATCATGGCGGCGCCCATTGGGGCGCTAGGCGATGATGTACGGCCGAGGCGAGGTCGCGCCCTCCTGGCGTGTGGTGCGCTCCCCGGCGTCCGTGTGCGGCGGGGTGAGTACAGCTCCACCTGGCCCGAGAGCCCCGGGCCTCGTCGCTCACCCCCCAGCGCGGCAGTCTTTGGGGGTCCTCGCCCTCTTCCCCCGGCCCATAGTGTACAGGGCTGCCGCGAGGCCGCAGCAGGGTCTGGAGAGCCCCGGAGGGCCGCCCCCACCTAGCCTGGTCAGGTGGATCCGGCTGGCAAGAGACCGCCAGAACGCTCGGTCTTAGAGGCTGAGGTTACAGACGTGGCGCCAGCCCCTGGATTATTTTATGGGTATGAATGTATTGCCTGCATGTGTGTAAGTGCACCTGTGCTGTGCAGTGCCGGTGAGGTCAGGAGAGGGCGTCTGATCCCCTGGATCCGGAGTTATGGATGATTGTTAGCCACCCTGTGGGTGCTGGGATTCGAACGCCGGTCCTCTGCAAGAGCAGGCAGTGCTGGTAACCACTGAGCCATCTCTCCCGCCCCTGGAGTTCCTTTTAAAGGAAAGATTCTAGCCAGTCTCGGTGCCAGGGGCTCCTCTCGGGTCACAGATAACTTGTGAGACTGAGACAAAAGGGTCCTTGAGCCCAGGAATTTGAGGCCAGCCTGGGCATAACCCGTCTCTTAAACAAACATTAAGTGTACATAATGAGACCTTGACTCAAAAAAAAAAAAAAAAAAAAAAAAAAAGTATTCTACTCACCAAGTGAAACTGTTTAAAAAGAAAAAAAAAAAAATAGTATTTGTTTCCCTATAGTTGAAACATTACTTCTGGAGGGAGGACTCGGGGTGTCCCCATGAGACTCAGTACGCTAACTCAATAAGGCCAAGACTCACAAGGTTACTGAAGTTATTGAAGTAAACAATTGCTGGGAAGGAATTGCTGGAGTTCCCTGTAAGTTGAACTTCAGGCATGCAGCTTTGGGGAGATAACACCACAATTGCCTTCTGTGACACAGCCGTAGGTGTTACCCATGCTTCTGTAGTAATCTAAATAAACTCTGGTTCACCAAGCTAGACTTGGGTGGGATTGTTATTTTGGTCTGTCATTAGTGCCCTACCTGGGGCAAATAGCCCTTTGTTGACCCCAGGAAAAGTCACACAGCAGTACCTCACGCAGTCCTATTATGTAAGCCCTCGATTCTTTCGGCATCTACCAGAACTGAACAGTGCCGAGTGCTTCATAACAGCCTCACCTCCCTCACCTCAGCCTACTTCACAGGGCCTGTTTGAACTGGACAGGGCTGGGAAAGTCGACACCGTGGAAATTGGTAACATCTACAAGATTGGATTAACCCTTTATTAATGTTTAGATTTAGGAAAGTGATGGCGAAAATATAATGAGTAAAACGTGTGTTGCTTTGAGGTTATGAATAACACAGAAAACAGCTGAGGTGTTCCTTCCATTACTCAAAAGCTCTTCCCTGATTCAGCAAAGAAATTGCCCTTGTTGTTGAGGTGACACAAAGGTGGACTTAATAGAGCTGGTGCTGAAACAACTTATTAAACTTTAAAGGTAAATAGTTCAGCAGCTGATTATGTGTCAAATTTGATGATAGTGCATTTATTGGGAAAAGAGTGATTTGGGATGCAATTCTACTCGTCAACTCATGACTGAATTTAGCTGCCAGTTGGAAGAAATGAAAATTTTTGTTCATGCAGAGACCTGCATGCAAACACTCTGGCAATTTTATTTATAATACCCCAAACTTGAGATTTGACTGCAAACGCTTGTAGCTTTATGTAGACTTGCACTGCTCAGTGTATCTCAATCTTTGGTTTTAGATCCTTAAAATCAATTCTGGGTCATTGAGAAAAATTCCACTTGACATCTGGCTTAACAAAGATGAGACAAAACCAGTAAAAAAGGTCATCTGAAGTTTCAGGAACAACAGTGGAGTTAATATTTATGCTTCCAGTGACCTAAGACTTCCACTGGTTTCCATATTTTAAACTTTCCAGCACCTCCCCAGTAGCACCAAACTGGAACTCAAGCCTTTAAATGTGTGGTCAGCGGTGAGGAGACAGACAGCTCTGCTCTGCTACCCGCAGTAGCTTGAGAAGTTCCCTACCTTTTAGAGACTTTCACTCAGACCAACCTAGTATTCATGGCCTTTATGCAGAGAACTCCAGGACTCGCCAGTGGGAAGCAGAGTGGCGTTTCATTAAAAATAGGAAGATGCAGGCTGGGTGTGGTGGCGCACGCCTGTAGTCCCAGCACTCGGGAGGCAGAGGCAGGTGGATCTCTGTGAGTTCAAGGCCAGCGTAGTCTACATAGTGAGTTCCAGGACAGCTGGGGCCACAGGGAGACCCTGTCTCAAAAAAAAAAAAAAAAAAACCAAAACTAAACAACAAAAAAAGGACGATGTCCAAGAAAATAATAAAGGCCCCAGAGAGCATGGTGGGGCTTCTCAGCCACAACAGGTTAACACAGCGTAGCCAGATTTTAAGCACAAGAATTAAGTAAAAAAGGTGCTCCAGAAAGATAAGGCTTACCCAAGTGTGGAGACCAGCTCCTTAGGGGACAGTCACAATTTCACATGAGTGGCTTTTAAGTTACATCTCAGAGGGTTGCTAAGAAACTTTCCATTTTGATAAGATTATAGGGTGGATCTGGAGGTGCCTTGCGTGGAATTATCATCTGATAACATAAAGCCAGGAGCCACTAGGATTACACAAGAGGTTTAGGACATGGCCGTTACTGGAAGTGGGGTTTTTTGGTGAAATTTCCAGAAAGCCACAGTTTTATAGCTGGGAAATGAGAAAGGCCTTAAGCAAGTGTTGAGTATGTTGGAATTTATGTTTCCCAGCTGTACACAGGCTTCAATTAGACTCCTGGCAGAGGGGTTCTTTCTCTGTCCTTATAACTCCCTGATTTCCTGCTTTAGCAGGAGTCTTTGGGGGCACCTGACAGAGGTAGAACATTGCCACAGGAATTAGCCATCTTTGTCTGGGATGGTCCTCTGGTCTTGGGCTCTTTTTTACTGGAGTTCTTGAGTGACCTTCAAAATATTCGTTAGCAGTGGCTATTTCTTTTTGTATAGTGTTCTGACATTTTATATTTTCCCATAAATTTATCATCTATAGAAAATGTCACATTTACTCCAAGGGTTTTTATTGTCAGAATTTTCTGCTGTTTGTGTTTGTATTTCTTTCTTTTTGAACTCTATTTTTATTATCTGCAGTTATTATATTACTATAATCTTTAATTTTTGTTCCCGTTTCTTCCCTTTATTTGGTTTCATGCCTTTTGGCGTGACAGGTCCCACCCACTAGATCATCTACACTGCATAGCAACCCCACCACTCCCCCACCCCAACATGTGTTAAGCAAGTGAACATTTGCCTAAGGCCTTTCTCCCTTCCCAGCTGTAAAGAAACCCCATTTACAAGGAAAGGACTGTCCCAAGGCCCTTGTGCAACCCCAGAGACGCCTGGCTTCACTTCATCAGATTATAATTCCATCCAGGGCGCCCCTGGAGCTGTCAGCAGTAAGGACACACACTGCTTCACACTGCAGCCTAAGGAGTTCCCTTAGTATATTAGGGACCTCAAGTCAGGTAAATCCAGGATCATGGCTTCAATTCAGAAAATTAGTTCAGGACTAGCCAGTATGAAGCAAGAGTTGGAGATCTTATTTAAAATACTTTAATATGAGCCAGGTATAGTAGTGCACACCTTTAACCCCAGCATTTGGGAGGCAGAGGCGGCAAATCTCTGTGAGTTCCAGGCCAGCCTGGTCTACATAGTGAGTCCAGGCCAGCTGGGACTACAGGAAGACCCTGTCTCAAAAATAAAATTATTAAAAATAAAATACTTTAATATAGACTTTAAGCATGAGAGTTAGAAGAGGCATTCAGAAAGAGACGCGTAGCTAAGAGTGAGTTAAGGGTCCTTGGAGAGTAACAGAAGGTTAGACCAGTTCAAGTGTAGGAGCTAGCTCCTTGGGGAGTCACAATTGTCTTGGCATTAAACCATGTCTACCATTTTGGTGATTCTCAAGTTATATCTCAAAAGGTTGCTAAGAAACTTACTTTTTTCAACATTTATTTATTGTCTTTTTTTAATTTTAATTTTTATTTTTTGTCTTTTTGAGACAAGGTCTCCCTGTAGCCTCAGCTGGCCTGGAACTCACTATGTAGACCTGTCTGGCCTCAATCTCACAGACATCCACCTGTCTCTGCCTCCTGAGTGCTGGGATCAAAGACATGTACCACCTTTCCTGGCCTATTTTTACTATTTTAAAATTTTTGTATTTATGTGTGCCTGTGTGAGGTTATGTGTATGAGAGTACAGGTGCCCTCAAAGGCCAGAGGCCAGAGGCACTGGATCCCCTGGCGCTGGAGTATCAAACAGTCGTTAGCTGCCTGACATGGGTGCTGGGAACTGAACCCTGGGTCCTCTGTAGGAGCAACAAGATTTCTTAATTACCGAATCATCTGTTCAGTCCCTTTTTCTTTCTCTTTGATAAGTGAAATTATAAGGTGGCTCTGGGGATGTCTTGGATGGGATTGTATTCTGATAAAGTGAAACCAGGAACCACCAGGGTTGCACAAGGGGCTTAGGACACATCCTTTCCCTGTAAATGGGGTTTCTGGTGAGAGTCCTAGAAAATGCAGTTTTATAGCTGGGAAGAGAGAGGCCTTAAGCAATTGTATTGGAATTTTTGCTTCTCAAGTGGTAAGAGACTTAATCAGATTCCTGAGTAAGGGATCCCTTTCCTGACATGTCCATGTAATTTTCTTTGTCTTTCTGTCCTGGTTAGAGCCACCTTATAATCCCACTTATCAAAAGAAAGAGAAAAATAAATTTTAAAAAAGGTTTTTTAGCAACCTTTAGAAAGGTAACT